CCCCCCGCCCCAACCTTGAGTCACATTAACTAGGGGCGGGGGCCCAGGATCTGCACTCTGGCCTGTGTCCCTGCAGTTCTGGTCGGAGGCTGCTTCCCGGGCTTTGGAATCGACCTTGTCCTTTGAATCTGTTTGAGTCCCCGCGCCGAAGGCCGGTTCCTCATTCTCGTCTGTCCTCAGGTTCACGTGAAATCAGAGGTCCTCGCTGTCAAGTTGTCCCAAGAAATAAACTATGCAAAGAGCCTTTATTATGAACAGCAGCTTATGCTGCGGCTCAGTGAGCATCAAGAGCACTTGGAGCTGGACTCCTGAGAGACCCCGCTGCTGCAGGGACACTGCCGGGGCCCTTCGCGGCCGGTGGCCCGCGGCCGGGCTCAGCGAGTGAGGCCGAGCGCGCGGCAGGAGGGCTGGAGGCGCGTCAGCGACAGGGGAAGGGAAGACGGGGGTGTCGCCGTGGAGGACATTAATTTGGGGGCAGGGGTTGCTTTAGGTTATGGGGATGGAATTTTTAAAAGGTATTGGTTGAATAACGTAAAAAATGAAAATTGTACTGCGATGAATCTAATTTTTAGATCGCCCTGTATTTTGTTAACATGTATATATGTACAACTGTGTGTCTGTAAATACGTACGAGTGTTGCTGAACAGGGTCTGTGCTGTGTGTAAAGGTTTGTTAACTGTAAAGTAATATAAATTATATCGGACCTTCTATTGCACTAATTCTACACGTGGAATTCAGGGGACTCGTTATAAAGGCCTTTTTAAACATCGGAGGATGTCGTGTGTATTCTGGAAACGAGCGTTCGAGTATTCGCAGCAGGCGGGCGCAGTGTGGCCGGTGTCCACCGTCGGCCCGGCCCGGGCCGCCCAGCCAGCGGCTGCCAGACGCCCCTCAGCTTGGCTTCCCAGCCCGTTTTTAAAGATCGTTCTTAGATGACTACAAATGAATTTTTACCTCGTGGCTCTCCCCAACTAGCCTTGCCAAAGTTGGAGGTCAAATTCTGCTGTTACCCCACCCGCTCCCCTCCACTGTGTATCTTTCTGTTTGAAGGGCTGCAAGGGGTTGTTGGTTTAGAAGGAGAAACTCCCATGGAACCATTTGTTTGACCAAATCAAAATTTCACAGATTTAGGAGAACGCACGGGAAGAGCGTCCTCCCTCCTGGCTGGCAGCACAGGGGACGGGCTCGGGCTCTTCCTTTAAAGGCACGGGCAGCCCCGGCTCCACGCCCAGGCACCGTCCTAGAAAACACAGAATTCTCTTCTAAGTTGTTGATGGAACCAAGATTTGGCCAAACATCTCTTGTCGTTGGTGGCGGGGCGTGCCCCGTCCTCCCCAGCTTGCGCTTGGGGTTCCTTCTCCCTGAGGAAGAAAGGAATGGGGGGCAGGAGGGGCTCGCTCTGGAAAGGAGGAGCAGCCTCGTGATTCAGATTGTTTATTTGAATGACGCCAGTGGGTTTCTAGAGCCTTGTCGCGTGAAGCCCAGACCCACGGTGGCTCAGTGGGTCGGGGGTGTCGGAGGTTTTGGTGTTAAGGTTCATGACCCGAACCTTCCAGGCCGCAGTGCAGCTGTCCGTCGGGCCTGTCGGGCCGCCTCCCGCCCGCCCCCGCCCCCACGTGTTCTGCACAGGCCCAGGAGCGGAAGGGAGCTTTAGCAGCAGTGCTGAGGTGCTTCAGCTAAAGTCTCCGGGGGTTGTCCGAACCCTTCCACTGCTGGTCGCCACTGAGCTCTGCCAGACTGGGTTATGGCTTTCAGGGTGGGTGATCGGGTTTCGCGGGGTGCGGCCCTGACGGTCCCTCCCTCATGCCCAGGCGACTGATGGCCGGGTGTCTCATCCTGTGGGCCCTGGTGTAATCCTCGCCCCTCCACACCTGCCCCCCCCACCCCCAAGATTGACTTGTGGTTTTTGTCTCCAGGAACACACCCCCTGAAATCTTGGGGCCTTAAAAACCAGGCTCTCAGAGGGGCCCGTTGTCTGCATCAGTGAGCTTTCCGTCACCTTCTGTAATGAAGGCCCTTGAGGTTCTGTATTTGGGAGCCCGGGGCTACAGCTTCTGGGGTGCTGAGCTCTGCCTGCTGCAGGCTGGCCTGAGGAGGGATCGAGCCCCGCCATGCGTACCTCCTCTGCTCCTCCACAGCCGCACTCCGACCTTACCCCTCAGGGCCAGAAGCCAGGGGCCACAGTGCTGTCCAGCAACCAAGGGGTGGGGCTGGGGCGAGCGTCCCAGCCGCCTGTGCCCTGGCAGCTGGTCCAGGCACGGGGAGGGGCTCCAGGGACTTTGCACGCAGCTTCCTGATTTGCCAGGAGAAAGATCCAAAGCTGTGGAGCAAGCGGGCCCTGCTCTCAGCAGCTTCAATGCCCCATTTCTTCTCAGTTGGTGGCTAGCCAAGGATGTCTGAGACTTTGTTATGATAATTTCTCCCAATTTTGATGCTGCCTCAAGTACACAGTCCTTCCTCTCTGAGGAAAGCAAATAAATTGAATAAAGAGAAATTGGATAAGGAGAAATCGCAGGCCGCCCTGACCCAGCAGTTGGCTGCCAGCGTCACCACCTACGTAGTGGGTTTGCCCACCAGGAGGCAGCCAGACCCCCCCCCCAGGGGCCCCCCACAACCCGGCCCAGCCCTGCTCCTCAGGGCTCACCGCTGTTCACAGGCTCCGGGCCGCTTTGTTTTTAAGCGTCTTCTGTGCCTCAAAATACTACAGTAGCTGCTTGAGACAACTCTGAGAGTGGAATCCCTGGTTCGCTGTGTCAGCACTGTTACTGTCACCCACCTGTAAAGACTCTCCAGTCTGTTTCTCACACCAGAGTCGTTATTTTTCTTCCTGTGGAATAAAAGGCCTTGTTGGCTCCAGACAGTGCTCTCTTCTGGTTTCTTGGTTGTCCCGTAGCTGCGAGAACCATCGCCAGTGGCACACACCTCCTGCACCGCACCCCCCACAGCCGGCCGCCTTTCCCTCGCTCGTAGTGGGCCGGCCAGGTCAGGCCAGGCGAGCCCGGGGCTGCCATGGGTGGCACTTGATGCCCCTGCTCTTCGCCTCACCGGTCGCCGGGCCAGCTCCGGCCCAGGCCTGCCAGGGTGGCTTGTCACTCAGCGACAAGGGAAGACTGCCGGAGGGCGCCGAGGGCACTCCCTTTACAAGGGTTAACTGCCAGTGCCACCCCACCTCCTGGAGCCCGGGACAAGCCAAAGGGGCAAGTGGCCCCAGCAGAGGAGGCCCCAGATCTGAGCCCCGGGACCCAGAGTTCAGGGATCAGGCAGGTGGAGAGGAACAATAAATAATGGGCCGGACCCTCCAGACACGGGGGTGAGGAGCTGGAGCTGGGGTCCCAGAAAAGGGGGGGAGGAGGTTCTCTCTCAAATGCAGCCGGCAAGCGGGCAGGCTGAGGACCAAGACTCGGGGGTTTGCAGCACCAGGGGCAGGGAGGCCAGGCCGCTTCTGACAGTGGCTGAAAGGGTGACGGTCATTTTGGCGGAAGTGAAGGTCGAGAAAAGGCGGAAGGCGAGAGATTGCAGGGTTGGAGGGCTGGCAGCCCTGGCGCGATGGGCAGTGGCCCAAGGAGACGGCTGGGTTCAGCGAGAAGCACCAGCGTGGAAGGCAGCTGACGGAGAGGGAGACCCCCGAGAAGAGGGGCGGGGTGGTGGACAGCAGGAGATGTGCCTTTATTCTCCCAGGGAGATGAGCCGAGGGGCACAGGGCGGCAGAGCCTGGTGGGGGCCATAGGGAGGCGAAGAGAAAGCCGTGAGTGAGGTTAAAGCAAAAAAAACGGCTGGACGGGCAGCCAGGTGGGAGGGGCCGCACGGGCTGGAACAGCCAAGGGGGGCGGGGCGGCTGGCCCCCAGTAGGCCAAAATGGGGTTGAAGCGAGAAGCGTCCCCCTCTGCTTACCCACATAGCCTGGTTTAGCTCAAAAAGTGTCACACAGAAACCCCAGAGCGCGGGGGCAGGGGCCACTGTGGGGACCGTGGAAAGAAACGTCTTCCCGGGTAGGAGGCATGGGCGGGGGCCGTGTCCCTCAAAGAGAGCAGGCTCAGGCAGCGGGGCTGTCTGAAGAGACTGTCTGGCGCTCCAGGCCTGCAGAGACCCGGCACCGAAATGATGCCACTCACCTTCCCTCCCACTGCCACGCTCAGGGAGCCGGGCAGTGCTGACCGGCCTGAGGGGCAAGCAGCTCCTCACCCAAGAGGCATCTCTGAGCGGGAGGTGATTCAAGAAAGAAGAAAGGACTTGCAGAATTACACTGTGGGAACTTATAAGATGAGTTTTTTTTTTTTTTAATGTGAAAAAAATAAAAACAGGGCCCTCCATGGTGGCACGACAGGTTAAAGCGCAGACTATAAGGCTCTCACAGCCGCTGCAGGGCGAGTTCGATCCTGGGCCAGGGAGTGACCCCCAGGGCGCAGCAGACCTCTGTCTCCCCGCTGCTCCCCTCAGCAGTGGACTTCAGTACATGTGCCTTTCTGCTCCCCACTCTGTCTCTGGGGCATCCTCTCATCTTCCACACCTCTGGCCTGCACCCCATTTCTTGTGTGCATAAATCAAGAAATCTTTAAAAACGAAAACAAAAATAATAAAAGCAATGGCTCGTCTTCGCTGAGTCCCGTGAGGGCAGTTACTGCAATACGTCCCCTTTTTATTCCTCCCCCAGCGCCCCCCTCTATCCCACCTCAAAGCTGGTCACCACGCGTGTCACCGGCCTTCTCAGTCCGCCTTGGAATTGTCCACAGGCGTGTGACACACGTCTCAGTGGGTGTCGTCGGCTCTTACAAAGTAGGAATCCTGTGCCCATTTTGTAACTTACTCTCTTAAACAGTGATGCGGTCGCGGTGATGTAGGTTCTAGAATGGACTCTGCTCTCCCTGCGCCAGTGGGCATTCCTTGCAGCCTGCCCCCCAGAAAGAATGCCACGGTCAGTGTCCCCCATGCCAGCGCCAGACCCCAGCTTGCTCCTGCCCAGCGGAGCCCCCGGGGCCCATTGTGCCAAGGTGGAAGCAAGGTCACTTCTCAGACAGCCTGAGGGCGATGGCCAGCTCGCAGCTTTGCCCACCTGGGAGTGCCCCCCAGTCTGGCGTACAGCGCGAATGCTCACTTGCTCCATCCACCTGTTTTTGCAGGGAACTTGGTTGTGTTTGGGGCTTGTAGGGCCAAGTTAGGACTGGTGCAGGCTAACAGCAAACGCCTTTTAGCATCTTACTGTACAGCCATATCGCTTTCTCTAGTGTATATTCTACAATGTGTGTTGTTGGCTTTTTTTTTTTTTTAGATTTATTTATTCATGCATATAGGACTGGGGTGCAGGCCAGAGGTGCAGGGGTGAGAGGATTCCCCAGAGACAGAGTGGGCAGCAGAGCAGGCAGGTGAACTGAAATCCACTGCTGAGGGGGGGCAACAGGGAGACAGGAGAGGTCTGCTGCGCCCTGTGGGTCACTCCCTGGCCGGGGATAAAACTCAGGCAGCAGCACTGAGGCGACCCCTAGGCCACCCCGGAGGCCGTGTAATGTCATAGTTAATGTACATATTCTGTTGTAGATTTCCTGATCCCGCACCACCCTCAATCCCTATAAAAACCCCATTAGTCATGATGTGTTAATTTATTATTCTTTTGCTACATCTCCTGGCTCTGCTTGTTAATGTTTCAGGTCTTCACATCTTTAAAGTGGGAGAGGTTCATCATTTTCTTTTCTTCATAGTCTCTTCATCAGACTTTGTAATTAAAATGATGTTGTCCTCATCAGACGGAGTGGGGAGCTTTCCACCCCTTTCCCT